GACAAACGAAACTGTCACAAAAACATTTTAAGAGGTAGACGGGAGAGAGGATTAGTCGATTTTTATGTTGCTGCGGTCGTGAACGAGGTCATGAATTACATGCTCCTCAGCCAGCGTCGACAGGTCGCCAAAGTATTCGGTCTCGCCGACGGCTATTTTGCGCAAAACGCGACGCATGATCTTGCCAGAACGAGTCTTTGGTAGCCCTTCAGCTCGCTGAAACACCTCCGGGACAGCGACGGGGCCAATCTTACTGCGAACTTCGTTTTTTATCTCTCTGACCAACTCGTCCGTGAAACTGTAACCCTATAAAATATACTTAGACTTCCACAGGGATACGTTAATTCGTGCAAATATCTACGACAGAACGAATGTTAACCAAGCACCAAGTCAGAATCAGTGGGAACCTCCCATGATTTAAGGTCTCAAATTTTTTGAGTCCTCAATTACAGAACAAGGTTATTGTTTGAAAGAACTCTTCTCTAGTCACTGAGTCAGTGAGCCTGATTATTGAAGTAATGAGTTCTTCGCATAGCAATAAAATTGTAATGATGTAATCCCATTTTGTCTAATTACGCCTATTAATTATTGACAGAAAACAAAATGTTATGTTCTGCAAGAAAGATTGAAGGCCACGCAAAATTTTGGGGCAAATTTATCGTCGTATTTCTCAGATCTTGACAAGCAATACACATGAGAATATTTAATTTCACCCCCTTGCGTGAAGCAGTTTATCGTACATCGCTTGGATTTTCCGTCCATCTTCCTCATGAATCATCCTCTCTGTTCAAAAGATGGTGTGGTAAAATTTTTTCACGATATATCCTTTTGGGATCAGTTTCTAGGATCATAGGCTGAAGTCCTGCAACCTATGACGCAGGGTCTAAATGACGATAATACATCCAGTAATAGCACTCACCCGGCAAAGATAATCAAATTAACCTAACAGTTTATGATCACATTATATCAGCATTCAATGGTTCCATTCTTAGCAAGAACACTGGTAGATTTTGTGAATGAGAACAGTGAACTACTGGAAAAATTCTGAACTCTTTGTATATATATACAAAACTATTATTATAACAACATAAATATAACATACGTTTTTGAGTATGACGAAGCAATATGGTATCTGCCCTTTGATACTGTGCGGTGCCGCCACAACTGCAGCTTCTGCAACTCCTGGATGAGCAACGACAGCAGATTCTATCTCCGCATTGGAAACCAAATGCCCTGAAACATTCATCATATCATCGACTCTGCCGGTGATCCACAGAAATCCATCTTTGTCACGCTTTCCACCTAAATAATGAGTAGATTAATGATAGGACTTGCAATAATGTGAATAAAAAATCAAGATTGCGTCATGCGGAGAATCGATGAGATTCAGATGAGAACAATCTAAGATCTTGTTTCTGAGTCGGTTCTTCACGAAAAAGAAAAGTGGACAGACGACAAGGAATTCAAAGTTGCAGTACCGACTCTTTGCAATGGCAAGTTAAGCGTCAGATGCTTCATGCATTTTGAATACCTGGCATTGTCGTGACTTGGAATGGAATCCGAGACGATGAGTCGAAGCAAAAGGTCCCCTGAACCTTTTCACAGATTTGAACCCATTGTTGGAAAGTAGGGCTATTAGAAAAATTTCCTACAGCGAAATACCTCCGAAAACGAAATAACACGGAATGAAAATAAAAGTTTCAAACGAAGTTTTTCTCTTCCGCATAGGAATGCCCTTCTTCTTCATGACACATACAAAGTAACTGAAAATTACTGTAAACAACAACTTAAAAAAATAGTTTTCGATATTACAAACACGATTACGCATCTATACAGTGCAGATGCTCACATACTATGGAGCTATGACCCTATAAGACTCCAAAATCAAGACAGGGTATTAGCATAAACGACTCTGTTAAAAAGTTGCATGATTACGCTAAGCCATCATACTGTTTTAAATGTAGGAAACCGATTATCGGGCAATATACTTGTTATTCGTTTATCGATTGACCGCACTCAGAAAAAAGAGTATGATTCGTTGTTCGAGGGAATTAGCACTTAGTAAAAAAGTTATGATAATGCAAAGGGCTCGAAACCTGTATCTTTGGCATGTAAAACTGACGAATCAGAACATCGCCATTGCTTCCAACACAAAACAAACCGACGGTAATTTTCATGGGGTCGATGTTATAAGTCAAATCTTTCAGAGACTGCGTGTTTGGGTCAGGTGTCAACGCAATTGTTGTCGGATTCATAGGAAACTCTAGAAGTTCCTATCAACAATACCCTCGTAGAAATGGTTAACATTCGCAACGGAATCCCGTCACCAATTTCTTAACGGTGACTTAGACGAAAACTGCAAACACAGTGCTGAAGTGGATTACTCGAGCAATCCAATCGACTACAGAGTAGTCTAACGCCGCCACTACCAGAGGTCCCAGTAACTCGGAACATCAACCTTATTATCGATTATGGGTGACTGATGATGATTAAAAAAGCCAAAGTGAGTCCAGTCT